TATAAAAAAGACCATTAAAATATATATAAATGAATAAAAGTACTATATAAGTATATATACAGAGCATGAGAGTATTCATATTGGGTACCAAATACATAGAATAATTCCTAAAATCGTATGAAACAACATAGACATAATACTATTTAGACCGCTGAAGCTAATACTATGCCTTCATTAAGTCAGGTATCAAAAGGCTTTACCGAATACCTTTTTAACTTGCAGACCAATTGCTGCATTTGGATGTCAGCAGGTCCACTTTGGTTTGGAATTGATTTTGGAGAAAGTACACTTCTCACCTGCTAAAGGCTATTAAATGGACTGCAGTTAGTTGGTCACAAGTAGTGCTGAGCCTGGGCTTTTGCCTAAGTTCAACCTAAGCCTGCTCCAAACTGTGACTGTCACCCCCTCCTCCTGGCCCAATCAATTGCAAAGAGGTGCATTCCCCCCAGCTATATATCACAAAGTGGTGGGGAATGCCCCCCACCATAACTGCCACCACTGATTGGACAGAGAGGGGGGAGTGGTGGTCACAGTTTTGAGTGGGCTCTCGCCAAACCCAGGTTTAATTCTAGTCACAGGTATACTTTAAAGGGTCTATCCACTCAAAATGGTTATTTTAATTTTTTGGTAGATGCTGAAAAGTTAAACTACTTGACAGTTTCTTATATCTCTTAGGGACTCTATTGAGACCCCTGCTCTGTCCTCCCAGGTCTGGACACCATCAGTGCCCATTATGAGAGCCACTCATTCAATCTGTAGAAAGTTTTATGCTGAAGATAATGTCATAGGAAGAATTGGAACACACAAAGGTGGGAAGGAACATCCAAAACACTCAGGTGCACAGGAGCAGAGTCATGAATTTTGGCAGGGAGACCTTACTATTGTAATATTCAAGACATAGAGGAAGCCAAGGGCTGACTCAGTCCATCATGCTCCCTCTGTAACTACAATACTAGATTTGGGTACTTAGTGCCAAATGCATGTTATGATAGTCAGGTGCATACTTCACATCATTCACAATTTATTGTGTTGATAGTAAACTTTACAGTAAACACTTGTCAGTTAAGTACCTTTTTATATCCTTTGTATTGTTACATCTAGCTGCTGATGCGTATTGCTTGTTGGAGGTGTTCGAGGTCCTGCTTAACAGCCCTGAGAAGTTTGGGTTGAAGCCAGGTTTCCATAAGCTGCCCAAAGGCAAACCACAGTCTCAGCCAAAGGTGGACCGTACGCCTAAGAAGAAGGAGCCAGCGCCACCAAAGCAGGTATGAGGCTGAACCAGTTGAGATTATCACAGCGCTGACCAAGGATTTACTGTCAGGCATTTTGTGTGCTCTTCCGCTATTCATAGAAATATTACCTAGGAGGTCCCTGAGTGAAGATCTTGTAAAGCCCCACAATATACTATCCTATTATAACTTCAGCACTGTAATAGGAATACATACTAGAGTTGTTTTTGATAATGCATTCAAAGCTGATTTGAAAAAAATTCCTTTTACGAAGCGAGTGCTGCCTTCTGTCTGCCCACCACTTTCAACTACTTCCTTGATTCCCAGTGTGCTTTGTGTCTCTTTCCCTGCTGCTTGATGTGACGCAATCTCAATTTCTGAATATTAGATATGGCAGCAAGCAATGATAATGTTACATTGTGGGGAGTTCAGATGTTGAATTGTAGTTCAGACTGCAGGCTTAATTAGAATGGTGACACAAAGAAGGGCATATTTACAGGGCTGAGTGAAATTGTGTCAGTGCCTTTAGGAAGTACATCCTATGGGCATCTTCGATAAGTAAGTTTAGAAACTTCTAGCTCGATATGGTTATTAGGAGTGGGATAGAACTTATGGAAATTCAATACAGAAATGCAGATTTATTTTTAGTTTTTGACCATAGATACCATTTATTTCTCCTAACAGAGAGAAGAAATAGTGTTTCTAAAGCTGGTCATACATAGGCAGATCGATCTGCGCGATACTTAAAGTGTAACTCCTCTTTTGATGAGACAAAACACAATTCTCCCTAAATCAGTTATATATGTTGCAGGCTTCATTACCTGCTGCTGTTCCTGATATGTGTTATCTCGCCCCCTCTCCATTCCTTTTGCCTTGCAGTAACCACCTGTTGCCCCCCCACCAGAGCAAAGTTACATGCATGGTTCTTCCATGCATGAGCAAGCATCTTACACTTTCCCATTCCTCAGACATTGCAGCAAAGGATGCCAGCCAGTCACCAGGCCCTAGTCACACAGGGGCAGGAACAGGGTCCTTAACATTTTCTGAGCTTCAACTAGTCAGACTAGTAGCTTGTACCTGGTTTTCCCTATTTAGCTCCCGAGGGGCAGAGGAGCAATATAAATAATTGCAGCAGGTCTGTGAAGGAAAATGTGAAAACCAAATGGTAACATGATGGCCAGGAAACTAGCATTTTTGAAGGAGGCTAGCAACAGAAGGGTTACCTGTAGATCAGAAAACAAGAAATAGATGAAACAGGACTATACCAGAATACTAAAATCTCCATTCTTTATATCATCTTAGAAACTGAAAACGTTAACGGATGAAACAAGAAGCGATCCCAGTAATAAGCCTTTGTCCCCCAGAGAGTTCCTTGTCATCTGTGACAACATGCTGCAGGGACTGGGGCGCTACTTGCGTTGTCTGGGCGTCGATGTCCTAATGCTAGATAATGATGATGACCACAGAAGAGCCGCAGAGGTAAGTGAGCTTTCTGTTTAAGCTTTGTCTTCCTGGCTTACACATAGTTATACAATGGGTATACACTGAATTACGTCATTGTTTTCAGAGCGTTTGTGCAGTTTTCTAATAGGTGTCGAATCGACGATTTATTTCTACCGTAGTGATCGAAGGTGCAGGATGGAATTTTTATTCTGACAGTGAATATGTTTTTTTGTTCAGGAAACTCCGTACATTCCAAAATCAATTGTTAAAATCAAACAAAGTTTCGAACAACATTCGTCAAGTCTCTGATGGTATTATCGAATGTTCTGACGAGAATTTTTGTATGACTATCCGTTCCAAAATCTACCATTGTATGGCCAGCTTTACTGTTCATCAGAATCCTCTGGTGTACAGTACAGATATGGCATTATTTGTAGAGTCATTTATCCCAACTTCCATACAGCTGCTTCCAGTGTGTTATTATTATTATTATTATTATATAAGATTTATATATCGCCAACAGTTTGCGCAGCGCTTTACAATATAAGGAAGACATTACAATCGCAATACAATTCAAGACAAGATGGTAAGGAGGGCCCTGCCCCTGAGGGCTTACAATCTAAAAGGGAGGAGCAAGTGATACATGAGGAGGTAGCTGTGTGGGGATGAAGTGTTGGTTATCATTAGGGTGGGGACAGGTTAGAACCTAGTCAATTTTTTATTTCCCGTCGTGGTCCCATTGAGGAAACTTCCCCTCACTTCCTGCCCTGGTGGCAAATTGTCACCACGTTTCCATGTAAAAACATTTTTAAAATGTAATTATTTTGTGTCATAGATTGCCAGACGAGATGGAAGAGTAATCCTGACCTGTGGACTGCCCTACCAGACGGTGAGAAGATTTAAGGGTTTGTTTGTTTAAGAAGTATATTGTGAACAGGTTATTTTTTTCTCACTTCACCTCTGGAGCAATTGTTTTGTTTTTTGCTCAAATGTTAAAATCTGCATTTTTGGCTAGAAAATTACTCAATATTCACAAACAATTATATATTTTCTGAACGCAGAGACCCTGTAAAATCAAATGTTGTCAGTTTCAACTTTTTGTTTGCACAATTGTTTATCACATCTGTATTCTCAGAAATAAATACACTAAAATTAAGTAACACAATTTGATCCCCTTTTTGTACAAAATAAAAGATGAGGTTTTCTTTTTTTTTTTAATATATAATTTAAATTATAAAAACTTGTTTTTAACTTACATTTATTGCTGTAAAAATGGGGCTAATAAGCCCCCCTATGTGAAAGCATTTGGCAGGTGACCGGTACTCTTTACGGAGACATCAGGGGTCCATAAGACCCCTGATGTCTCCCCTGCCCTCTGCTCCGGCCAAATAAGCAAAAGACTGCACTCAGCTGTTTTCCTGATTGGAAGGTATTTTGACTCCCTGAACCTGGAAATGTCCAGAGCTGAGCTCTTCCAGATTTATAATCATGCTAATAAAAGGGAAAAGGATGTTCCTTGATGTCCTCCTGCTCGTCTATCCTGATGCTGGATCAGGACAGCCCTGTAACCATGCAGGAAGGGGGGGGGG